ATGTTTGGGGCTTGGCTGGGTTTAGGCTTAGCTCCAGGGCCTTGGGGCTTAACCAACAGGGGTCTCAGGCTTCCGGGTTTGGTTTCGGGCTTGGGGCCAGTTAAAGCTTTTAAGGGGGCATTTGAGGAACTCCAGATTTGGGGTTTAAGGTTTTGGGGTTTTAGGGCTTGGGGATTCAGGGTTTTAGGGTCTTTCGGGTTCATTCAGGGAGTAGAAGCCTCTGGCCCGGTCTATGCAATACAGTCTGCCCTCCAAACCGATTCAATGAGATTATCATGTGATGTGTCTTCCAGGCCAGATGTTCTCGGCAGCATCTGTCATCACTGGACCAGAGCAATGTCTTGGGTAGTTTATGAGTTTTGGGCCAAGGAGGCAGGAGGGCTCTGATAGCCCCCCCCCCTCCGTCCCAGCCCAACCCTGAAGGCCCTAAACCCTAAACCCTAAGCCCTAAACCCTAAACCCTCGTAAGCCGCTGGCCTCGAGAAGAACCTGGACAGACTCCCGGACCTGGTCGATGTTACTGTTGCCGATCCCTGAGCGGCGGATCCTGGGATGGGGGCTCAGGGTTTAGGGCCCTCTGGTTAGGGGTTAGGGTTTATAGGGTTTAGGATTCAGGGTTTAAGGTCTAGGGTTTAGGGTTTAGGGGTTCAAGGAATAGGGTCTCTGGTTGCTCTGGGTTTAGGGCTTTAGGGCTTGGGGCTTGTGGCTTAGGGTTTGGGGTTTGGGGTTTGGCCGCGTGGAGTGTGGAGAGTTTATAGGGCTTGGGGATGAAGCTGAAGGTTCGGAGGCTTTGGAGCAGAGGGCAACCCTAAACCCGAACACTTTGTGTTTCCAATCCTCTCTTCAAAGCGGTTTTTAGGGTTTAATTAGGGTTTAGACTAGGCTTTAGGGTTGAAGTAGGGTTGAGGGTTTAGGGAAACCTACAGCTTGTAGGGTGGAGCCTCCTCCCGGACAGTTTCGGAGAGAGAGTTCTTCGCAAGGCGCCTCTAGGGTTCAGGGTTCAGGGTGATCCCAATTTTCGGGGTCCTCTGGTCCCCCCACCCTCCCCCACACAGATGTCCACCGCAGACTACTATCAGCAACATAAAACGATCCCGATACTACCCTTGTAAGGAAGAGTACATTTCATTTGCTGTGGGGTTCTTAACCCTAAACCCTAAACCCTTAACCCTAAACCCTAAACCCTAAACCCTAAACCAAGCTCATGCACGCAGAGGCTCAACTCGTGCAGCGAATTGGCAGTGACCTTGCAGCCCCTGGCCAGACACTCTCGGAGCAGCCCTGGCACACCGCTTGAGCAGGCGCTTCCTTGAGGCGGTCTTCTTGGGAGTCCAGTGCGCTGTCCATAAACCCTAAACCCGAAACCCGAAACCCTAAACTTAGGGTTATAGACCCTAAATCCTGAACTTGGACCCTCCCAGACTGGCGTCCTAAGCCTAAACCCTCAACCCTCAACCCTCAACCCTCAACCCTCAACCCTCAACCCTCAACCCTCCCTAAACCCTAAACCCTAAACCCTAAACCCTAAACCCTAAACCCTAAACCCTAAACCCTAAACCCTAAACCCTAAACCCTAAACCCTAAACCCTAAACCCTACCAAAGTGGCTTCCGAAGCCGGACCCAGCTTCTGAAGTCGCCTTCGTCCAGTGCCGCCCCGCGAGCAGCCATGGCATCCAGCAAGATCACAATGTCTGCAAGCACCTCCGCAGCAGTCGGGGTTTTAGGGTTCAGGGTTTAGGGTTTGGGGTTTGGGGTTTTGGGGTTTAGGGTTGGTTCAACAGGAGGGAGTACTTCCGTGGCCCAGTGGCATAGAGCCCTGTAGGCCACCGAAACCCGAAACCCTTAAAATGCCGAAACACCCTAGTTCATGGTTGGTATAATATTAAACAAACTCAGTTTCTATTCTCAATTGGGTTTAAGTACCCTTAAAGATGTTCAATGGTACCCAACTATGACAAAGCACCGGGGTGCTGCGGAAGTCTTTCTGCATGGCCAGCCGGAGCAGGGAGGCAGACATGCCCGGAAGCGGCTCTTGAGGAGCGACCTCCCCGCTCCTTGGTGGCACTGCAGGCTATAGGGCTTTTAGGCTGTGGGTTTCACCCAAGATCTTAACTCCCTTAACCCTAAGCCCTAAACCCTCAACTCCCTAAACCCCTAACCCTAAACTCTCCACCCCACCCTTTTGGGAGCCTTGGGGCTCCAGGGTTCAAGGCTCAGGGCTCCAGGTTTTGATTCGGTTTCTTCCGGCCTGCTTCTTACCGCAGCTCGCGCAAGCAGACGCACAAGCCTTCAAGCCTGATATCAGATGACCCTGAATATGACACCTTCTAGAAACCATAGACCCTACAAAAGCCTTCAAACAAGGGGGCCCAAAAGCCTTGCAACTGCTCAAAGGCGCTGGACCATGTCGAGGACCGTCTGGTGTTCCTTCGCTTTAAGCAGCTCCAGCACTTTGCAGGGGTGCTCCTCTGGCCGCCAGAAGTAGGCCAGGCGCTGGAAGTCGATGAAGGACCTCACGGACTGCTGTACTTGGTTTTAGGGTCTAGGCTTTAGGGTTTTGGGTTTAGGGTTTAGGTCCTCTGCTAAGGTAACGTATGCAGAAACCCTTCAAGAAAAGATCGCGAAGCTCCAAGCGTCTCTAAGCCTCCGGGGTTTCCGGAAATAGGGGTACCTTATTGAGGCCTTAGGGTGAATCTGGTCGTGATTTCCGTATATGAGATGACCACAATAATTACCAGCCAGGGCGCAGAAAGGTGCAAGCTTCGTTTCTTGGCGCCATCGGCTGTGGGGGGCACTGAGGCCGCGAGAACGCTTTTGCTGGCTCTGGCTTTCTTGAGACCATCGAGCGTCAGTCGGGGTTTAGGGTTCTGGGGCCGTTTGCAGTTTAGGGTTAGGGCTAGGGTTAGGGTTAGGATAAACCCGAAATCCTAAGCCCTCAACCCGAAACCCTTCGGTCTTGTTGTGGCGTTAGGGGCCTTGCGGCTTCTCACAGAAGCCCAAATTCTCTGAGAGTTTCGAGCTTAGGGCTTTGGGCTAGTGACCCGGGGCTTGAATTGCTTACGGTTCAGGGTTAAGGGATTTAGGAGTTAGGGTTTAGGGCTTAAGGTTTAAGGTTTAGGATTTAGGGTGCAAGGCTTTGGGGTTGGGTTTTACGGCTTAAGGTTTAGGGCTTAGGGTTTGAGGTTTGGGGTTTGGGGTTCAAGTTTTGTGGCTTGGGATGTCGGGTTTACATGGCCTGTCGATGGCAGCCGGCGCAGTCTCTCGCCAGGCCTCCTGTGGGATAAACTTGAAATCCTAAACCCTAAAGGCTTTGGGGCTTTGGGGTTTCGGGTGTGGATGTTTGGGTTAGGGTTCAAGCCCTACATGGAAACCTCGAAACCCTGAACCATGTGCCCTACACCATAAAGCCCCTCGAGGGTCTTTGGCCTGGGTGTCTCAGGCTTCTTATGTTCATGGGCTGAAACTGGGCAGTCCTCTAAGGCATAACGTTTCCCTAAACTCTAAACCCTAAACCCTAAATCCTAAACCCTAGACCCTAAACCCTAAGCCAAACCTTTGAGCCCTGGTCCTTGTTCCGGATGAAGCTTGAGGTCTTAAAGGTTTACGGATTGAGGCTTGAGCCCTGAACACTAAACCCTAGACCTTAAACCCTAAACTCTGGAGGTTTGGTCCCCCCCCCCCCCAAAAAAAAAATGAGAGGCCCCAGCTCGCGCCTGCCGGTGCAGGAACTTCTCGTTGTGCTGCACGCACGCCCTCGCGTCAGCGCTTAGGATTTAGGGTGTTCAGGGTTTAGAGTTTCTAGGGTTTAGGACTGAGGGTTTAGGCGTTAGGGTTCACAAAGTTGAGGGTTCAGGGCTTAGGGTTCATAGGGTTTCGAGGGTTTAGGGTTTATAGGTTTTCTAGGCTTAGAGGCTATAGGGTTCAGGTTAATGTGGGAGAGAGAACAATATCCTGTAAATTACGCCAGTTCCCATCAACAATTGCTAAGAGAGAAGCGAGAACTTGATGATTAAAGGCGTGAATTACCAGAATTTCTGTATTCTTTTCATGTCGCTTTGTTCGCGCCTATGGTATTATCTTCGTGCGTAAACTTGCAATAAAAATTGCAGGCGCGTACATCGCTCACTTTATGCTTTCACCTTTGTGTCTAGGATAAAATCATTGGGGCCATGAATGTAAGAATCATCCGTGCGGTCTCTAAGCCTTTTGTATTAACGCAAGCTCAGGCCCGCTTACTTCGCCTCCTCTCTCGGGGCCGGTGGTGCTTGCTCCGGGGCTCATCCAGGGGGCAGTGGGTCTGTCTGAGAAGCCCCCAGCCCGCGGCCAGAACCTGGCCCTCTGGCCCCAGGCTCAGGGTTTAATCGAACGGTTATTAAAACTATGTTTCTAGTATTCTTCATTGAAGGCTTTCGAACCCGACAAGTAGAAGTGTGGATCCTGTGGTTTCCCCGAAAAAGTGTGGTGAGCATGGTCTTTCAGTGCAGGCGTCCGTCCTCCTGACACTGCCCACCTCCTCCAGCGCCAACTCCTCCTTACACCCTTCTCCTCCTCCCCTTGAGCCGCTGGCCGATTCGGTGCTCGTTTTCTTTTGCCTGCGTTCGGAAAGAGTGTTGCGTGAGCTGAGATCTGCTTCGTGTATTTTTGCCTGGCGCACTGTCGTCGTTTTCAAGAAGTTGTCGTACGTGTAGGATTTCGTAGACGCGGGCCATGAAGTCGATGTGGTAAGATGCCTGACGCAAGCTGTCGCACACTCGAGCAGCTGCGCCGTGTTTTGTTTGGGTCATTGGCCTGGCAGCAATCTTTTGGCACGCCGGGCGCCTGCGCAGGAATATATATATATATATATAGACATACATATATATATATACACATATATATCTTATATATATATACACACGCTGGTCCGTTGATTTCGGGTTTTGCTTAGTTTTGCGCACGCCTGAGTCAGAGAAAAGATCGATGGCGATCCCTTTCAGGGTGTCCGCGTACTTATGGCACCATTTCTTTGCGTTGGGTCTATGTATGTCACCATCCCGTTTATTCGGGCGCTTGAGCCGAAGGATATCCGGACGCGGCCAGCCTGCGTGGAGGCATCCACTAAGGCAGCCGGGTGTCCTCCACGCCAAGTGAGGGCTGCTTTGACCTTCGCCATCGTGGAGCGCTTGGAGCGGTGATCGAGTCACGGAAAAGAGTTTGTGAGTCCTGTCAACTGCGTTGCATCACAAGTCAGGACTAAAGTCTCGCGATCATTCGGCTTGCGCTTGTTAGGCTGATACGCTTTTGTCTCTTGGTCTTGTCAACTCTCATTTCGAAACACACCTTCACTGTGGAAGACATTTGCTGGCAGGGTATATTCTGACTCCGACCATGTTGCTTAACTCGCGAGAGCAATTTGTGCGGTACGGGAACCTGTCGAGGATGAGGTCCTTTTCGAGTTTTGACCCTGCAGCAGAGCGTCTTGAAAGTTACGTTGAACTGATAGTGTGATTCTGGCCTGCTTTGCAAGAGCATTGCAGAGCTGCTCTTCTACGGCAGCTTCTACGGGTGTCGCCTTGGTTGACTCTTCAACTTTTCTAAAGACAAGCTCTTGACTGTGGACCTGAGACTGGGATACCGACTTGGACGAGTACCAGGACTTCTGTTGGCAGCTCTTTGAGCTTCTTTCGCGGTGTGCCGTTTGTGAGAACCGGCAAGCAGGCGAGGTGGTTGTGGTTTGAATGTGAGCATCTGGCCTGAAGGATGTGGCAGGCAATGATGTCCGCGGTATTGCGGGCGTGTGTTCGACATAGTTTTGCGGCACACAGCGGTGTCTTAACGCAGAGTTGAGAACGTGCCTCCACACGCAAAGGATGGTCGACGAGCTCCAAGCGGTCGTCTGCTTTCAGAGCTCCCGCGCCGCCGAGGCTTCGCTTCATATAAAGGCGAGAAAGGGAGTTAGCGCTGTGTCGTGGTGCATCCTGGTAGGTCGGTGTAGAGACGCAAGATGTGGACGAGGTCGCCACGAGCACCTTTCGTCATGTCAATCGTGTGTGTAGGGTTTGAAATGACAATGCTGAGGTTGTGGCGCCGGCCATTATTCTGTGTCGCCGGATCGTTGAATTGACTGTCTGCTTCAACTAAGCCTTGTCCTTTAGCTCAAGAACCTGTGATCTGTTTAGAGCCTTACGTCTGATTGGGCTGGCTTTGCTGCTTGAAGCTGTGGCTGCGGTGCTTTCTTGTGAAATTCTGAGTCACCGCTTCCGGCAAGGGAGTGTGAAATGGCATTCGTATGTGAGGGGCTGGCTTGGACGAGATTTTTCTCCTCTTCGTCTCCTCATCGACTCCTCTTCCTTCCTTCCCTCCTCTTCCTCTCCTCCTCTTCCTCTCCTCCTCTTCCTCTCCTCCTCTTCCTCTCCTCCTCTTCCTCTCCTCCTCTTCCTCTCCTCCTCTTTCTCTCCTCCTCGTCCTCTCCTCCTCTTCCTCTCCTCCTCTTCCTCTCCTCCTCCCCTCCTCCTGCTCCTCTCCTCTTCCTCCTCCTCCTCCGCCTCTCCTCTTCCTCTCTCTTCCTCTTGCTCTTCCTCTTCCTCTCCCTCTTCCCCTCCCACTTCCTCTCCCTCTTCCTCTCCTCTTCCTCTCCTCTTCCTCTCCTCTTGCTCTCCTCTTCCTTCGGGTTTAGGGTTTAGGGTTTAGGGCTTAGGGTTCATGGGGTTTCTAGGGCTTGGGGCTTATGGGATTGGGCTTAGGGTTTAGGGTCTATAGGGTTTCGGGTTTGGGGTTTCTAGGGTTCAGGGTTCAAGGCTTAGGGTTCATGAGGCTTAGGGTGTAGGGCTCAGGGCTCATAGGGTTTCTAGGGTTCAGCGCTCAGGGCTTAGGGCTCATAGGGTCTAGGCTTTTGGGTCAATAGGGTTTAGCGTTTAGAGCCTAGGGTTCTAAGGTTCATAGGATTCATAGGGTTCAGGGTTTAGGGTTTTAGGGTTCCTCGGGTTTAGGGTTCAGGTCTTAGGGTTCGTAGGTCTTCGGAATTAGGGTTTCGGGTTCGTAGGTTTCGGCTTTAGGTTTTTTAGGGTTTATAGGGTTTAGGGTTCATAGAGTTCAGGGTTATAGGGTTTAGGGTTTAGGATTCATGGGGTTTAGGGTTTAGGGTTTAGGGTTTAGGGTTTAAGGTATAGGGTATAGGGTATAGGGTTCAGGGTTTAGGGGGGCTTCTGGAACTCTTGGGTGCCCTCAAACCCCAGCCTGCTACGCCCTAAGGAGCTAGATCTCGTGAGCCCCAAAACCCAACCCAAACCTGTTCGAAGTCAAATGCCTAGGAACCCAAACCTGTTTAGGGTTTAGGGTTTAGGGTTTAGGGTACAGGGTTTAGGGTTTAAGGTTAGGGTTTAGGGTTCATAGGGTTTCGGCTTTAAGCTTCAGGGCTTAGGGCTTAGGAGTTGCGAGAGCCAAGATCTGGGAGTTCGGCTGCACGGAAAGTTGCTCCCTAAACCCCAAGCCCTAAACCCGAAACCTGAAACCCTAAACCAAAAGCAAATCCTAAAGCCCGCGGCGCCCAACTGTTCTTGGAAGCCCTCGTGAGACTTGACAACGAAACCCCTACACCCTAAACGCTAAACCAAAAACCCCTAAACCCTAAACCCTAAACCCCAAAGCCATCTGCCGAGGTCAGGGCGTGGCTAAGCGCCTGCCCGGGTGCCTCTCGGTCAGCGAGCTGAGGGAGGTCACCTGTTACGACGTCGGGCGGCTCAAGGGTCCAGGCGGTTAGGGTTTAGTGTTTAGCGTTTGGGGTTTGGGGTTTGGGGTTTAGGGTTTAGGGGTTCTGGGGTCTAGGGTTCAGGAGGTTCAGGGTTTAGGGGTTTCGGGGGTGTAGGATCCTCAGGTTTAGGGTTTGGGGTTTCAAGGTTTAGAGGTTGAGGGGGTTTAGGGGCTTTAGGGGGGTTTAGGGGCTTTAGGGGTTTAGGGGGTTTAGGGTTCGGCCTTGTGGGCTTAAAGGTTTGGGGCGTAGGCTTAGGGCTTAGGGCTTCTATCGCGCAGGTATGTAGGCCTTCTGCCACTTCATTTGAAACAAGTCAGGGTTTAGGGTTTAGGGTTTAGGCTTTATCTCGGATCTCGGGCCCCTAAACCCTAAAAGCCTAAACCCCAAACTAGAGCTTGAAGGCTCTAGGGTCTCGAGCGGGGAATGCGATCAAGGCTGCACAACCATTGCGACTTCCACCACCCGGAGCAAAGCCTGGGGGCAGAGCTTTCAGTAACAACCATGATAGCGACAAAAGAGTATATACCAAAAAGAATAAGCAGAAGAATAAGAACAATCAGAAAGTCATATCATTAACAATGAATCACAATATAATAACGAACCCTGCGCCCAAAACCCTACATCACCCCCCCCCCCCCCCCCCCTAACCCCTAAACCCTAAACCCTGAACCCTAAACCGTGAACCGTGAACCCTGAACCCTAAACCCTAAACCCTAAACCCTAAACCCAAGCAGGACACCCTTGCTTCCGGCAACTTAAGTATAGGGCTTCAAGGGGGGTTCGATATCGGCAGTGCAACCCCAAACCCGAAACCCCAGCAGCTCACTACATTGGGGTCCCCTTTTTACCCAAAGGGCCCCTTCAAACCTAAACAGCGGTGCCAAAAGCCCCCCTGGTTCTTAGTAGGAAATGAGGGTGTGGAACCAGCCCATTGGCAGCTCCGACAGATGCCACGGCGTCGATACGGGCTCCCGACGACATCTGCCCCTGGGGGCACATCGCAGGAGGCTGGCTCATTGTAGAGGGGGCTTGACCCGGCCACGGCTTGTGGGTTTGGTGTTCCTGCAACTGCTTGGCCTGGCCCGATCTGCTGAGCAGAGAAACCCGCTGACGTAGGCATCTGTCCGCTTTGGGTCCCTGCACTCCTCAGCGGTGCGCATTGTGCTGGCACAATTCTGGAAGTAGGGCCCTAGATATACCCTTTAAGGAATTATACAGGGTACCTCATTCCTTTAGGACCCTATACATACCTTTTAAGGGACTATTCTAGAGTACCTCATTCCTTCATTCCCTACTAAGAGCCAGCCAGAAGCTGACGGGACTGGCGGTCTTCTTGCATGCCTAAACCCTAAACCCTAAACCTAAACCCTAACCCCAAACCCTAAACCCTAAATCCTAAACCCTAAACCCTGACGGGCCTGGCGATCTTCCTGCATGCGGTCCAGGGGCAAGAAGGTCTCGGCGGCGATGCGCGACTCCTGCGCGGTTTAGGGTTTAGGGTTAAGGGTTTAGGGTTTAGGGGTCTCGGCATTCGAGCTACGGGTTTTTTGAGGGGGGAACACACCCTAAACCCCAAACCCGAAAGCCTAAACCCTAAACCCTGCACAGCTTCCTGTGACCACGGGAATCCTAGTGGTGTGCTTAAAGGCTCCCGAAACCACGACCCACGACACTCCTTGAGGTGCTGCACGCACCTCCGCGCGGCGGCGGCGTCCTTCACCACGAAGGCCTTTACAGATGTCTAGCCCTAAACCATAAACCCTAAACCCCAAACCCTAAACCAGGAGGAGGGCTCGGGGGCTTTCAAACCCCCAAGCCCAAAAAGCTTGGGCTTCGGCCTTGGGTTTGTACGGCTTGAGGGTTGAGGGTTTTGGTTTAGGGTTTTTAGGGTTTAGGGATTGGGGTTTAGGGTTTAGGGTTTAGGGTTTAAGGTTTAGGGTTTAGGGTTTAGTGTTTAGGGTTTAGGATCCTAAGCTCGAATCCACACCTGAGAACAGTTGAGAGAGTGTGAGCATATATGCATCTTAATGGGACCTCCGGAGACCCAAGAGTAACCTAGGAATAAGAAGGGTGCCCTTTGCGGCCGTGGGCCGTACAAAAAGGGGAATGAGGGCCTACTCCGGGCCCTAGGAATGCTGTACGTCGGGGGGTTGGGGTCCACTGGGGTCCAAGTCCAAGGTGTGCATCGTCTCGCAACCCTAAAACCCTAAAATCCCAAAAATCCTTCAACCCTAACACCTTAAGACCCTAAAATCCAAAAAAACAACAAAAACCCAAAAGCCCTAAAACCCTCAAACCAAGAAAACCCTCAAAACCCTCAAAACCCTCAAACCCTAAAACCCTCAAAACCCTCAAAACCCTCAAAACCCTGAAACCCTAAAAACCCTAAAACCCTAAAAACCCTAAAATCCTAAAACCCTCAAAACCCTAAAATCCTAGAACCCTCAAAACCCTAAACCCTAAAACCCTAAAAACACAAAAGCCCTCAAAACCCTAAAACCCTAAAACCCTAAAACCCTAAAATCCGCAGATTCTGACACCCCATCCCGCACCCTGCAGCCCCTAACCCCCACAACCCCCACATGGGATCTGAAGACCCTTGAGGTTTAGGGTTTAGGGTTTAGGGTTTAGGGTTTAGGGTTTAGGGTTTAGGGTTTAGGGTTTAGGGTTTAGGGTTTAGGGTTAGGGCTGATCACCTTGAAGCCACCAGATGGTCAGTTCTCTCAATGGTTGTCCCTAGTCGGGCTTGGGGTTTAGGGTTTAGGGTTTCGGGTTGATCCCCTAGAGCCCAAAAACCCCTAAACCCGATAGAAGCTCGAGTGATCTTTCATGTTTTGGGGGGTTCTTCAGCAAATAGTAGGTAGAAGGCCTAAAAACCTAAACGCAACAACAGTCCAAACACAAGGAGGCCAAAACCCAAACCCTCGGAATCCTACTCTAAACCCTATGACCCTAAACCCTAAACCCTGAACCCTAAACCCTAAACCCTAATTAAACTTAAAACCCTAAACCCTGAAACCCTAAACCCTACTCTAAACCCTGAACCCTAAAACCCTAGACCCTAAAACCCTATACCCTAAAACGCTCGGGCCACTGGGGAGCCGACATCCGACATGGCACCCAATGCCCTGGCAGCATCTTCGCGAAGAGGGTTTAGGGTTTAGGATTTAGCTTCATGCTTAGGGTTGTAGGGCTTATCTTAGTCTCCCAGTAACCATATTAAAATAAGGGCGTTCTTTTTTGGGTTCGCTACTTTATAAGAGAACCTTGAACCACAAAAAAGGGATGAGGGCACCACTGGGTACCAAGTTATATAGGACCACAAAAGAGGATTTAGGGTGTCAAAGGGTTTAGGGCTTAGAGGGTGCAGAGGGTCTTGCATATTTACGAGTTTAGGGTTCAGAGCCTAGGGCTTGTAGATTCGACGCTAGTTGCCCTAAACCCTAAACCGAAAACCCTAAAACCCTAAAACCCTGAAACACATAGAAAGAGCCCCCCCGCAGGCGAATCCTGTTGAAGGTCACATTCCAAGTAATTCAATGATGGACAGTAAACAAGACTAGAACTAGCAGATTTGTTGGCATGCAGTGGTCTTTCCTTGGGATTGAAAGGCAAACCCATAATCAATGGAACAGAATCAAGCCCTTTTTCAGTTCAAGAACCAACTTTTCCGGATTCTTGTCGCCCCTCTTACCCAGTCTGCCCGATGAAAGAACCTGCCTTGTCAATACACTAAGCCCGAAACCATAAACCCCAAACCCTGAACCCTGAACCCTGAACCCTAAACCTAAAGGCTTGGGGCGTAAGGGGCTGAAAATGAGGCTTGGTGAGGCGCAAAGGCTTGCTAGGGCTTGGGGGGGGTTTAAGGTTGGGGCGTTGGTTTAGGGTTTAGGGTTACCCTTTACCCTAAACCCTAAACTCCAAACCCTAAACCCTAAACCCTAAACCCTAAACCCTAAACCCTAAACCCTAAACCCTAAACCCTAAACCGAACCGCTTAACTGACGACGAAGTCTTGATCCATCGGGCTCATTCGGGTCTCTGGCGCTCAAAGACTTTGCCGTGTGGAAGCAAAAACATGCCGGCACTGCATCTGGAGGGGAAGGTCGTACTTCTTTTGAGTCGGCAGCCTCGGATAGGATGTGGGCAATTCTTGAAATCATGGCCGCCTGTTTGGGTAATAGGAACAACCCTTACCAAACCCTAAACCCGAAACCCTAAACCCGAAACCCTAAACCCGAAACCCTGACCGTACACCCTAAACCCTGAACCCTGAACCCTAAACCCTGCACCCCACGATGAAAAAGTTTGGGCTTTTGTGGGAACCAAAAGACAGAGCCTTATATATCAGCTACCCGAAAGGGCCCATCGTTTAGACACTCCCCCAGGTGGGAGCGCTGAACCTCAACGACGGTTCAAACCCTAAACCCTAAACCCGAAACCCTAAACCCTAACCTGGCGATCTTGAGGGCCTACATGGTCAGTTCTCAAAATGATGGGTACCCTAAATGTCCGGAGCCGCCCGGTAATGGTAACCCCAAAGGGGGCCATCTAATAGAGAGAACTGGCCCCCGCACCCCCCCTCAGAGGTTGAAGGTTCCTCAACCCTAAACCCTAAACCCTAAACCCCAAACCCTAAACCCTAAACCCTAAACCCTCAACCCTAAACCCTAAACCCTAAACCCCAAACCCTAAACCCTAAACCCCAAAACCCTCTACCGGTGGAAGACTACGAGGCCTGACTTCGGCTGCCCTGAAGCAAGCCCCATAGGGTCCAGGGTTTAGGTTTAGGGTTTAGGGTCCAGGGTTTAGGGTTTAGGGTTTAGGGTTTAGGGTTTAGGGTTTAGGGTTTAGGGTTTAGGGTTTGGGGTTTAGGGTTTAGGGTTTGGGGTTGCCCTAAAACCCCGAACCGCTAGCCTCAGAATGGACTTCAAAGGCGGCTCACAGAATCCCTCGGCCAGAAGGCTCTCCTCTTCAAGGGGCTCGCTGCACCCTGAGCCCGAAGCTCCTGAACCCCCCGTTTAGGGTTCAGGGTTTAGGGTCTAGGGTCTAGGGTTTAGGGTTGAGGGTTTAGGGTAGCAAGATCCTTGGCAGCCCTGCCAAACCCTCCTTTAAGAAACGCCGTGGCGCCGGGAATTCTTCACCTCGACCCTGAACCCGAAGAACAGAAGTCTCTGGGGCTTTTAGGCTGTAGGCTTCTAAACCTGAAGCCCTAAACCCTAAACCCTGAACCCTGAACGCTAAACCCTAAGCCCAGCTACAGGAGTTCGCTGATTCGACCCAGGACCAGCTCGGGGAATCTGACAAGCAGGCCACACAGGGTCGCAAGGGGTGCCAAGGTGCTGTGCTTCTTACTGTTTTTGTCGAACTGAGGGAGAGCCAGGTACCTGAAACCCCCCTCTATCGCGCACTAAACCCATTAAGGAACCCAAAAACCTAAACGCCCTTATCTAGGGACCCTAGATTCCCAAATTCTCGATCAAGACCCAGCAGGGTATGGGGACTGCCCACATGCTGAAGGAGGGTTTAGGGCTCAGGGTCTATAGGGTTTACGGAGGTCTGTCCAGTTTGCATAGAAACCCGGGCCTTTACATGGATGTCTTTAAACAACAATAACCCCCCCCCCCAACAAAAGATGTCTATATATGCATATATATATATATACCGATATTAGAAAAAAAAACACCCCAAAGTTGAACAATGAGTGTGATAATCAAGGTGCTCGTCCGGCGCAGTACAATAAACTAAAAATCCTAAGCCTCCTGGCTCCTGGACGGTCTTTGGCACGGTTCATCCCTTTCCCTAAACCCTTAAGCCCGAAACCCTAAGCCCAGCTCTTTCTTCGTCTTGTTGTTGTACCTAGCTGCGTGACATCTTCAGACTGGATTCTTTGTTCTGCTTTCAGGTTCGCGTGCAAGTTTAGGGTTTAGGGTTTAGGGTTTGGGGTGTGGGGTTTAGGGTCTAGGGTTTAGCAAGCTTAGGGTTTAGGGAGAAGACTCTTGCGGGCTCTGTGACTTTGCGGGAGAAGGTGGGAACCGTAAACGCGCAAATCCACACGAACATTCTCTTCCTTGCTGAGTTCATAAGCCCGACAAAAGTGTACACTTTCAGTTCTGTAGGGGATTATATACTCACTTAGCTACGAAGTTACTAAGTTTTCTGACTGTAGAATCAGCAAGCTGTCCAAGGTTCACGGCCTTACAGGACTTGTATGAATGAAACTCTAAACCAGCAACCTCAATGTCGAAACACGGCCTCCCACGCAACTCGTCCGCGACCTGAGCGAGGTGCAAGGACCCTCCACCCACAGAAAGTTTGAAAAAGGAGCAGCGCCAAGCGCGCTCTAAACCCTAAACCCTGAACCCGAAAGCATAACCTTCTTTCGTACCTTGAAACCCTAAACCCAGAACCTTTTCTGGGGTCCATTTTATGAGGGAATCCTACTATTTGGGGTCTATATTAGTGGTCTAAGCCCTAAACCCGAAACCCTAAACCCCAAAGCCCCAACCTGCACCCGATAACACTGAACCAAGCCCTCTGTTTAGATCCCCTTCTACACCCCGTGTGTTGCTGTTATGGCAAAGTATTTGGGTTTAGGGTTTAGGGTTTCGGGTTTGTGACGAAACTATCGGGGGCTACCTGCTCAGCAAGCAGCCTCCCCCACAAGGGGACCTAATTCAAAACCTTACCCCTTCATGGGCCCACAAAAATCTAGACCCTACACCCCTTGTTGAGCCCTGGCAACATAAACCTGCAGTCCCTGAGCCCTTTTAACATCCTAAAGGCCCTAATTAAACCGCAGACCCTGCTACCCCCCCCCCTCAAACCTAGACCCAGCGCCCTGAACTCGCCTAAGGACCCTAAATCATCCTCAACCTCAAAGGGTTTAGGGTTGAAAGTTTAGGGTTTAGGGTGTTCCCTGAGTCCCTGAAGCCAGACCATCCTCGAAATCCGAAGGCCCTATAGGACCTGAGCCAGGGCCCGACGAGACCCTGTAAGACCCTAAACCCTAAACACTAAACCCTCAGCCCTAAATCTAAACCCAGGAAACCCGAAACTCCTGAAGCCCTAATTAAGACCTTTAGTTACCTCCCCCAAATTCATATCCTAAGCCCCCAAGAGCAACAAGCTTTTGAACCTCGAGCCCAAACACAAACCCGAAACCCTAACCCCTAAACCCCTTGGCACCCAGGCACCTTGCTGAAAGCGCCCAAAGCCCGAATGCCCTCAGCCCTACTGCCTCTAACGCCCCAAAAGACCCGGAGAAAACCGCTCAAGCCCGGCCCTATCCCCTGAAGCCTAAACGCCGCAAAAGAGCCCTGAAATCATAAGACCTCCCAAGCCTAAATCCTCCAGCCTTCCTTAACCCGAACCCTGCAACAAAAACCCCAAGAACCTCAGACCCTCTGGACACTAAACCCTAAATCCTCCGAACCCTAAACCCTCTGAACCCTAAACCCACTCAACCCTTTGCCCCACTCTGAACCCTAAACCCTAAACCCTAAACCCTAAACCCTAAACCCTAAACCCTAAACCCTAAACCCTAAACCCTAAACCCTAAACCCTACCATCCACCCTTCCTTGGGCGAGAGGCTCGCTGTCGTCCCTCCAGGAGCTCCAACTGATCCCGTCGAGCCTTCGGCTGTCAGAGCTTTTTCGGGTTTTCGGGGTTCCGGGTTTAGGGTTTAGGGTTTGGGGTTTAGGGTTTGGGGTTTGGGGTTTGGGATTTGGGGTTTAGGGTTTAGGGCTTAAGGTTGAGGGTTTTAGGTTGGGATGTTCCCCAATAGGGATTACAGAACCCCTATTATAATCCCGATTAAGCGCTGTTAGGGCACCGTTTTTTGGTTGGTTACTTTGTAAGTGAAAAACTGAACCAACAAAAACAGGGAAAGGGTACCGCTGGGATACCAAACAAGAGTATTGGGGCTTTCTGGGGCTGACGTTGAGGGGTGGAGAGAGAGAGAGAGAGAGAGAGAGAGAGAGAGAGGGAGAGTCGGCTTAAGGGTCGTTCCGGGGTTTAGGGTTTAGGGTTTAGGGTTTAGTTTAGGCTTTTGGCGGCGGGAAGGGGCGAGTGGGGTAAGGGCCGGCGGCTGGGCGCGGCTGGGCGTTCTTCTCACAATCCGACATTTCAAGCCCAAACCGTAACCCTAAGCACTAACAAACCTAAGCCCAAGAGCCTACACCCTACACCCACAAGCCCCTAACCCCAAACCCTAACATCAAAACGGCCGCCGAAACCCTGAAACCCTAAACCAGCCTTTACAGAGTCGACCTCAAATTGGAGCGACTGCCTCTCCTTCGAAGGGAACGCCATGTAGGGGGTTTTCCGAAAATAGGGTTACCCGTTTTGCGGGGGGGGGGGGGGGGGGGGGGTTCTACTCTATTTGGGGTATAACTTGGCTGCACTTTGCAGGGTAGCTATAAATTTAGTTTTAGCTGCCTTATTCAGAAACCCAATAGACCCAAAAAGGCTAAGGATCTAAAGTTACGGGCAAAGCACCACAGAGAAGGGTGCGTACCCCTATGTTGGGAAACGCCCACATCAGGATTGGGTTTAAGGTGAAGGGCGGAGGGTATAGGGTCTAGGAGTCTAGGGCTTACTATGACGATAGTGATTGAAAATACATTCCGTTGGAGCTTCGCTGTACAAGAAGCAACGGAAAACACAACTCTGATGAGGGGGACATAGCTTGAGGTCGGTACGTACTGATTCTTGGGGCCGTGGGGGGATTGGGGGGTGGAGGGGGGCGGGGGACGGGGGGCGGGGGGGCGCTGGACCATGATAGCATGCAAGGCATCCAGTTGCTAGAGCATCCATGGCCGAACCTTGATGACATCCATGTTGCCCTGTATTTGAGACTGCGCGCTTCTAGGTTGTCCTGTACTTGTCACAAAAGCACACTCTGCACTTCAGCCGTACGTATAAATTTGTTGTCTGATTTTCCACCCGGAAACCACCAAGGCAATCTAAGGCGCAGTAACCGTATAGTTAAGGTGCTACTAGGGCTTGTCGAGTTAGGGCGTGTTCATGTAGGTTTGGGGATTCACAGCGTGTAGGGCTTGCAGCTAGGATGCTGATTGGCCCATGGATGTTCAGGGTGTGTAGGTGTTGGAATGTACAGCCGCAGTTCTCTTCGTGAGTTGCTTGGAAGGCTTTGAAGCATGTGACGTTGAAAGATGAGGAACTTGTGACGAGCCACTCGAGCACAGCTTAGGGTTTGCCCGAGTGGTCTGTGGCTCTATTGTTTAGGCTTGGGGCGAACAAAATAGCTGCATGCCACAGCTAAAGTTATGCTACATTGGTGCCGGGTTGTTGTTTACACATACCTTTCTTAAGGAGCCTTTTGCAAGCCCTGCCTCAACCTTAGAGACTAAAAACCCCGAACCCCATGCCCTAAACAAACTTAGCCCCTAACTCTTGAGCCTGTCAGGCCCCCCCCCCATCCCCCTGGGTCCTCCAGTAGTGAGGACCGGAAAGTCTCGTAAGTCTTGACATCGGACTCCAGCTTCGTCCGTTGCCTGTTCCGCGTTTAGTGTTTTAAAAAGGGATGCCTCCTAATCCCCAAAGTAGCCCTTTTCAAAAAAAAAACCTAAACTGCTTAAATTGAAATTTGTCCACGCCTGAATGTTCTCAACACAACAAACCGTTGGCACAGCAAGTGTTCGCATATGTGCCAACTGTGCCAACAACGACACTAGCATAATTGACTGTTGGGGGCTTCGGGGTATAAAGAAGTTCACCCATCCTTTTACTGAAGCACCCCGTTGCAAAAGATCCCAAATGATGACGACGTAAAACTACAAGGCTATAAGGTTCCTATCTTGAGAAGTTTACTATGACCCCAAACTCAACCCCTCCCGAACCAATCCTAGGGGCACCCTAAACCCTAAACCCTAAACCCGAAACCCTAAACCCTAAACCCTAAACCCTGCCTTCGCGTCTCCTCGATCTCTACGCGGCTCGTCTCCAAGCCAATTTCGATGTCGCCCTTTTCGCGCTGCAAGTCCTGCAGGGTTTTAGGGTTTTAGGGTTTTAGGGTTTTAGGGTTTCAGGGTATCAGGGTTTCAGGGTTTCAGGGTTTTAGGGTTTTAGGGTTTAGGGTTTTAGGGTTTTAGGGTTTAGGGTAGCAGCTTAAAGCCTAAACCCTAAAAACCCTAACAGACAGAAGCCTAACCTGTAAATCCCTAGACCCGAAGCAGAGGTTTTAGACCTCAGCCTTTGGGCACCAAGCCGACAGGCTACTGCCCTCCGATAGCCATGCCGCAGTCGTGGGGGTAGCATGCCCTTCAGTTGCTTCAAGGAAAACAGAGGAACGCGGAACTGCAAAAAGGGGCAAAAAACACACTGAAACCCAAAAACCCTAGAGCCCTAAATCCGAAACCCTGAAGCCCTAAAAACCTGAAACCCTTAAAGCCCAAAACTCCCAAAACCCTAAAATCCTTAGCCCTAAACTCCCAAACCCCAAAACCCTAAAGCCCTAAAGCCACCAAAGCCCTAAAACCCCTAAAAGCCCTAAATGCCTAAATCCTAAAAACACCCTAGAAACCCCCCAAAACCCTTAAAAAACCATGACAAAACCCTAAAAGCCCCCGGATAACCCGTAAAGCCTCAAAAAACCCTAAAAAAGTCCCCAAAAGCCCCCAAAACCCTAAAAGCCCCAAAGAAGACCCTAAAAGTACTTAACCCCCGTCAGACCTAAGCACCCCGGCCCTGTCTCCGAGCCTCCATCTTTGCGTTCAGCTTGTTGCGCTTGTCCTCGCGCTCCTGCATGTCCTGCGTATCCAGGACGGGCTATTAGGCCCCATAACCCCTGAAAAAGGCCCTTTATAGGGTTGATTATGGGGATTATAGGGCCTAGTAGCCCATCCCATAACCCCTGAAAAAGGCCCTTTATAGGGTTGATTATGGGGATTATAGGGCCTAGCAGCCCATCCCATAACCCGTGAAAAAGGCCCTTTATAGGGTTGATTATGGGGATTATAGGGCGTAGGACTCCAGGGGTTTGGGGTTTCGCACTTTAGCGTAAGTGTAGGGCTGCAGGGTTTTTAGGATGCCGAGGTTTGGAGCTTAGCTCCTGCATGTCCTGCGTAGGACTGAAGGGGTTTTAGGGTTTACAGAGTTTAGGGATCTAAGGTTTCCTGCATGTCCTGCGTGGGGCTGAAGGGTTTTCAGGATTTTGGGGTGTTGGGGTTTTGGGAGTTTGGGGAAGAATGGGAGTTGGGTTTTAGAGATTAGGGGTTTGGGGTTTCGGGCTTCGGGAGTTTGGTGCTTTAGGGATTTAGGGGTCGTTAAAGGTTTCGGGAGCTTAGGGATTTTCAAGGATGCTACCTAATCTTCTGACGCAATGAATCCCTAAACCCTACACAAAAGCCACAATTACCCACCCCCCACCCCCCAACCCTAAAGCCCTGAAACGCCAAACTCCCGTAACCCGAAACTCGAAATTCCTGAGCTCACATAATATACATGCACCCAAACCCTAGAACCCTAAACCCTAAACCCTAAACCCTAACAACCCTAAAGCTCCAAACTCCCGAAGCCTGAATGAGCTAAACCCCCGACCCAAAAAAACCCAAAACTCCCCAAACCCAAACACCCTAAAATCCCAAGCTCCCCAAAACCTAGAACCTTAAACTACCCTAAAGGCTAAACCCTAAACCTTAGCCCTAGACCCTACACTCCGACATTTAGTTCCGATGTCCTGCAACCAACCCTGAAACCGTACAAGCGTTCAGGGCATTGGGATTAGGCCTCCAAAGACAAGACAAGCCAACCCCTTAAAATCCCTAAACCCCTAAACCCCAAGCCCCAAACCCCAACCCCTAAACCCTAAACCCCAAACCTCAAACCCTAAACCCTACACCCTAAACCCTAAACCCTAAACCCTAAACCCTAAACCCTAAACCCTAAACCCAAACCCTAAGAGTCCTCTTTGCAGGAGCTCAGCTCCTTCAGGAGCTTTTGCAGCTTGTCCTCGGCCTCATTTGGGGTTTAGGGTTTAGCGTTTAGGGCTTACAAGGTGCTGGGGGTACCTTGGATAAAGGGCTCGAGAGCCCACTAGGGGGGGGGGGGGGGGTTGCATAAGGCCTGTATAAAGACATGCGCTAAATAAAACATACATGTACATATGTGTATATATATATGTATTGTATATGTATATATATATATGTATGTATGTATGTATATATATATATATGTGTGTGTGTGTGTGTGTGTGTGTGTTTCTCTTTCTTTCTTTCATTCTTTCTATGGGGGTTTCCGAAATTAGG